GTTTTTCAAACACAGAAATAACTTCAAGACTAGTTTATACGATCAATTCAATTTTGTTTATTAGAAAAATGATAAACGATGCCCTCTATTTAAATATTAAAGTTAATACAAATAATTGACTTACAAGTGAACCAATCAGAAAATCGTTTTTTTTAGAAGAAAAAAGGGTAGCTCTTTCATGTTCACACAAATAGCAAGAAAAAAACATCGTTAACTATCGATTATTAAATTAATTTCTTCTATATTTAGTACACATTTTGCTTTCCTGTAAGAATTCATATATAAATTTTTTTTATCTACCTTTTTATTTACATCTACCTTGTTATGCAATTATTCTTTTTTCTTCCTTTTCTTCGATTCAGTCGACAAGTTTCTCATCAAGCATTGGTGTTGTTTTTCTTTTTCTGTAGTTTTTAATTGTCATTTCTTTTGTGACTTTCTTTCTTTTTTTTTTTATCAATACAATGAGCAAAATATTTAACTAAGAATGAAAAGAAGAGAATTTTTCACTGATTTGAGCACATGCTTTGCTGAGTCATCGAATAAAATGAAAATCTATCAGATTCTTGTTTTGTTCATTCATCATTGAGTACAATAGTATTAACATCAATAATAATTAATATGAAGATATAATATATGTACTACAAAGAAAATATAGTTAGACTGATACATATTCTTAATAATTTATTGTTCCCATATGTATAAATGAAAAAGAACAAAAAATACAAAAAGGCTCGATATTAAGAATAACATTTTTTGTTTTCTATTTTGAAAAATAATATTTTTTCTTTTTTTTTTTTTACTTAGATAACTAACTATTCTATATTATTATTGCAATGGAATCTTTTCAATCAAAACTTTCAGTTAGTGCAATGACAGCTAATTTTAAAATATTTACAGGTGAGTTCTATTTTACAGACACGAATCATATTGAATATAAACTGAAATATATATATTCTATGCTAATAAAATTTCAATAATAATGTTAAAACTGAAAAAGAAAAACTTGTTGTATGTTTTTTTTTCTCATACATATCTATTATCAATATAAAATGTATCGTACGTGTACTATCTAACTCCATATATATATATATATGCATGTATAAGCTTGATTGTATAGATTTAAGTTCGTAATAGAATAAAGCATTCTTATCTTAGAAAAAAAAAAAAAACAAAGGTCAGGATTATGAATCATGTATAAATAAAAATAAAGTGGAATGATTTTTATCTTATGTTTACTTTATTGATAAATATGAAAAGAACATAGCCGATGATTTGAAACATTAATATTAAGATTTTTGATGAAAATAAATTCTTTTTTTGTTTTTTTTGATTATATAAAAAAAATTCTTTTTTAATTGAAAATTATGTTTGGATTTAATAAAGATAAACATTGTTTGTATTTAAGAAATATAATTCACTATTTTATCCACATTTTGTCTTTTAAAAGGGCGCACGCTTACTTTTGAGAATACTGACACCTGATACAATACTCACACACTGCGAGAGAGTCAATCCCATTGTCGGAGAGGTGCGGGCTCTCACGCTGAATAAAATTTCTTGAGAAGTTATAATCATTTTCATAGATTATGCAAACTTTTTAGTTCACAATAAAAAAAAAACAGAAAGCTTTATTTTGAATATAATTTTATAGTACAAAGATAACTGATGAAATTTTAAAAATATTAAAAACAAGAATATAAAAAATAGACTTTTATTTATAAAACAAAGTCGTCGTTCACATGAGTGAATTGAAGCCGATATTTTGTAAGATACAAAATGATTCAATTTCAAAACTATTGTTAATTGATATAACAGATGACCGAAAAACTTGAAAACAAAAGTGTTTGTTCACGTTTAATCTACTAGAAAGATATCGAAAGTCATAAATTAGAATGTTCTTTTCGAAAATGGACTTAGAAATTTTTTTTCGAGAGTACCTGAAAGTATTTCAGAGGAGCCTAAAATTCAAGATCGCGACGTAAATTTGAATATGGAATTAGAAACGTTGTGTCTATTTTTGTTCAAAAGCAGTAAGCAAGTTTGTCGAAGATTTGAAATATTGTCAGTGTTGGTCGTTTTATAGAGTGGAAACTTTGCTATACAATATAATATTGAATGAAGTGGTAGCTTTATCCAAGCATTTTTTTTTCAAAGAGCTCTTTTCAATGTAAAACGAGTGTCGATTTAAAAAAAATTGAGATACGTTGTCGAAAAACAAAATAAAAATTCAAATAGTGCATTTTGTAGAGTAGTTTCTGATGCGCAAACTGATATATAAATAAAGATTCCAACGAATTTTTGTAGCCTTTTTCAAGATTATTTCATTCCTCTCGAATAAAAACTGAGATAAAATTTTCTAAGCACATATCCGACAAGATCATCCTAAATGTATGACTTCTGATATCTTTCTAGAAGGTCAAAAGTGAACAAACATCTTATCTAAAAACTTTTCTATCGTCCATTAGTATTGATTCATAAAAATTTTCTTTAATTGTTCCATTATTCTTTTTTTTAGAACCTCGTGGTTTAATTCGTATTCTTCAATTTATATTCGCAATATTTGCATTTGCTACAGCATGTAGTGGTAGTTCTTCAGTAATGTTCGCCAATAATAAGGACAATAGTTTAATAACTGCATCTTGGTCTTATCCTTACAATTTAAAAAATACACCAATAATGTTTACATCTAACAATACCGTTCTAAATATGATATCGACAGCAAATGATGTAAAACCATCAGCTGAATTTTTTGTATTTACAGGTGTTACATCAATGTTATTATCACTTGGATTTGCTATTATTTATGTTCTTATGGATCAACGATATCGTAATGATGGACGTTTGCCTTTAATTGATTTGATTATAATATTAATTTGGTCTATTTTTTGGATTGCTGGAAGTTCAGCATGGGCTAAAGGTGTATCAAATATTCGTACGCAAACTAGTTGGGAAAATGTAGCTCAACGTTCAGGTGTTTGTCCAGATTTGGCACAATGTCCAGAAAATTATTGTAAATCATGAATTCAATTAATATTCTTTGTTATTCTTATTTTTTATTTTCTTTTCTAGCTGGTACTTATGGAAGTATAATCGTATCTGTTATATTTGGTTTTTTAAACTTCATACTTTGGATTGGTAGTGCTTGGTTTGTTTATAAAGAAACAAAATTTTTTACTAATCGTACAGAACAACAACAACAGCAACAACAACAACAACAACCATCAGGTGAACCCAGTAATTTTACTAATATTGGTTCACCTACTATGCAACAACAATCAGTCTTTCGATAATCAAATATAATTGGTTAAATCAAAAAAAAAAACAAAAAAAAAATTGATCTTGTACTTTTCTCCTATTCGCCAAAATCTAATCCATTTTTTCTTTTGCGTTTAGGTTAAATTATCATTCTTTTGTCTCTTTTTGCTCATTTTTCAATGATCTTTGTTGTATGCTTACCTATATTATATGTCTGTGATTTTCTCATCGTATGCTTTTTGTGCAGGGTCAATCATTTAAGCAAATATAACAGTGCAAAATTTAGATGTTATTAAACAAGATCTTTTTTCTTCTCACATGCTTCATTTAATATGTCACTTTTCTTTTTTTTTTATTCATTACTCAAAATAAAACTTCGTTTTCTGCACTAAATTAATCAGTTGATGATAATAGAAGAGTAAAATTGATGTATGAACAATTTTATTATTTTTCCATGTATTTCTATTGGGACTTATTAATAATCTACAATTGAAATTCTCGATCGCTGTTGGCAATAGAAAAAAAAAGAATTGGAAATATAATTATATTTCATAAATTGTATTTTTCTCAAGAATAAAAATCTGATTATCTAGATCGAATTATTCATTCATGAAACTACAATAAATCGATATAACTATAAATTTATTTCATAGAATTGAAAGAAAAAAAAAAAGATAATTTGCCGTGCTAAAATTATATTTTACTTTTGGTTAATCTTACAAATTTGAGTATATAATAACTGCTATAAGATAATATGTTTGAAATTTTCGAGATTCTAGCCTTCATTTATAAAATAAAACAAACTTTAAAAGAAGATTTTATGTTCAATCAATTGATGTTTAGGATATTTGATCAGATCATATAAAACAATAAAAAGTGAATACTAGTTGATAATCAATATGTAACAACGATACATGATCTTGAATTTGTCAACGAGATAGATCTCCTAGAAAAACAGCTTCAACAAAGTTCAAATGTGCTAACAAAATATAAGCAATAACAAGCTGAAGTATAAATAATTCAGGTCATCGAACCGGAACTGACCTGTTCCAAAAATTTCCTGCCACTGAGATGTAGAAAAGGAGTTATATTGGATCCGAATTCGATGATCAAAATCGTTGAACTTGAAGTTAGAACTCTTTTTTTTCACAAGATTCAAATTCAAGAAAACTCTCAACAAGTAACACCTATTTTCCACAAGAATTGTTGATTTATTAAGTGGAAGCCAATGTCACCATGAGGTTGAAAATAAATGGTTACGAACTGTATCTTCTCATCGGGATAGAATCTTGAAATCGTAGTCGGGAGACCTATGGTAAACGACCAGCTATTTCCAGACATCGTTTTCAGATCCAAGAATTGTTAGAAAACTTAGTTGGAATGAATTTAGGAATCCTGCTTCCATAATCCGCCGAAGCAGAGAAAATGTTGAAAGAATAGGAACTCATGTCTACGAACTTTGATCGTTATAAATAAGAACTTGATATTAATCGAACGATCGATATATCATAACAGTGATTGAAAAGCATCTTTTTCTATAGATTACACCATCTTGTATGTTGTTAAACATTATATTTTAAGATTATTTTAATTGTTGTCATTTGATCATTCCATGCGTCAATTCTTAATAAACAGAATTTGACACAATTAATTTATTAAAATAAAAATATGAAGTACCAGTTTTAAAAAACGAGCAAAAATAAAGTTTTGAATATGCACTTTTTAAAGCGTCACAGTCTATATCATACTCGTTGTGATTGAATCTGCATTGAATATTTTTGCAATAGAATTGAATCATAATGATGTTTGGAAGAATCAAGCGGAGTAATTGGTGATGCGATAAATGAAATATTTTCAGCTGGCAGTAGACTAGCTCTTGATGGCGAATCAAATGATGTCGCTCTTGTTGTTGATGAACGAAATTCAATTGATGATAATGACTTATCAAAAAATGGTTCACTTGAAGAAAGTAGTGTATTTTCCATTGATGTAATTCTAGGTCGATTAATTGATTTATCATTATTATTTTTAATATATTGTTATCGATATTGATATGTACCTTCAGGTACTATAGTTCTTTTCGAATTTTTTGGCTTTTCAAAAAGATTTGATTGTCGACAATTGGGACCATCTATACGATATTGATGACCAAATCGTTATTGAATTAAAGATCTTTAGTAAAACAAAAATAAAGTATCGAAAATTTTATTAATTAAAAAAAACCGTTAATTATATACCGTAGAAGGCGTGGACACCATCGAAACACATAGAACAACGATAGAAGGCCGAGAAGAAGTTCCATTGGTAATCCAAGCATGAGTAGATGGAGAAGAAGAGTTTTTACCCGAATTGACTTTTCTAACCGCAACTCTGAAACAATTTGTGATAATTCTATCAATTTTTATTCAAGATTCTATCTTAAATTCTAGAAAATTCCTGTTTGCAGAATTTCTAATGATTCAATAGGGCTTTTTTCGCGATTTGTTCAAGTTCCTGGTCAAATGTTTTTCTGAATTAAGGGGGAACCCCCCTCCAAAAGTCGATTTTTCTTGAAAAACTCGATTTTTGAAAAAACACATATTCTAGTAGCCCTGACTGTCCTCTTTCAGAATATGTATAAATTATATAGGAATGGAACATATTTTGCCAAATTCTGGGGCGTCTATTGGAAGTCATAGTGGAAAATCGACGGTTGTGTTGATTTTTTTCCCTTAGTTACCGGTAATTAATATCGTTCCATCTTCTTTATCAGCTGTATAAAACCATCAATGTATCGAGTAATCATGTTCTAACTGTTGCAGTCAGAGAAGGAAGTTTCAAAATTAGGTTATTTTTCGAAAAGGTGGCGCTACAGTAAACGTGGATTTAGAAATTAGCTTAATTTTTTCTTGAAAACATGATCAACCGCAAGATCTTTTTACACACTTTCCAATGATATTTAACATGCTCTAATTTTCTACACAGGAACCTTATCAACTACTTCACAATGTTGTTATTCGTTTTTCTCAGCTTCATTTTTTTATCGTTTACTGATTACTTGCGGAACATTTTTCCAGTCCACTGTTTGACGCACGCTCCTGATATTTTTTTATTCAAAAGATGAGACTTTTTTCTAGAAATTGGTGGAACAGATTTCTAAAATATATCTCCGTTGTTCAGATATTTGAAAATCTTTGAAAGAGATCAAAGCAGTTTTTTCGATTTTCGGTTTAAAATGATCACTATTATTGAACAAAGATGAATTTCAAAAACCTGTTCCTACAATTTCTAGATAAAAGATTTTTCTTCATTTTGAAACAAATTTCAACATTTTCCATGCTACCACGCCCCGGGAAAATGTTCCGTACCGAAAGCTCCATTTTCATGAGTAAATTGAGTATAACTCCTCAATTATCAAAAATGATTGGTTCAAGTTTTTATCAGATGCTAGTTACATTACCTTTTTTATTTCCTGAAGTTTCCATCGAAATCTCTTGAACCGTTTAGAAGATAGGTTTCGGAGTGGGAGTTCCCCCTTAACAATTTAGGATCTTACTAGAAATATCAGATCACATACTGTCAAGACTTTAATGAAGTTGGGTATGGGTTTGAGTTAAGCGAAAGTCAACTCATACTTCCATCTATGTTAAAGTTATATACAATAACATGACATAATCCATCCAGGTAAACTGCTCGGTTAGGATCCTTCTGAAATCTTTGTCATCTTGTGGTTACGTATGTTCTTCAGAATCTAGTCGTTTTTCTCACGAAACAAGAATGAATCCTTAAAGAAACAAGTTAAACATCTGGAACGGACACATCAAGAATTTTCATTAGAGTTCTCTATTCAAATATGTAATTTTATCTATGATTAATTATAGAGTACTTGATTAAATCCTGACAAATGATTAAAATGTACTTTTTTCAAATCCATAAATAGATCATGTCAATACAATGCACTTTATAAATATATGTATCGTTGATTCTACTACTTAAGTAATGATATCTAAATGAAATCAAAATAACATAAGAGAAGAAGAACAATGATTGAATATAGAAGTTTGTTTTCTTCATGAAAAAATCGATTATTTCATTGACATTTTTGTTTTCACACACATATGCTAAAAGTCATAACATTATTAAAATATGAATTAAATCTGAAAGTTTTTCAGCAATATTTATCTTTAATAATTTCTTCCATCAATGACATTGATACGAAGTCTTCGTTTGATGTCACTCTAAAATATATTCTTCAAATTGTTGATTCTGAATGCATATTATCTAATTAAATCATATCACAATTTTTACTATAGTACACCATTGAGTTGTAAAAAAAAAGCATCCTTTTCGAACAAAGTCAATGCATTATTCAAACTTGAACATATTCTGAAGTTTATGAGAAATGACTAAACCATAGTTGGAAAACTACTGTGTATCTTATTATACAAGATGTCGCTCTGGAAATAATAATAATTGGTTCTTATATTCTACTCTATTTTACTATTATTAACAAATCCCGCTTTTCTTATTGCGACATCATAATCCGAGTCATGACTGATGATAATGTAAGTATTTCCTATGTATATATTGATCTTACTCTAGACTACTGTTTATTTATTTTATCATAAAGTTGAATCAAATAACTAATGATCTTAAATCAATGCAATTCGATGATGATGAAGATACAACAAAATATTTTATTAATTATATAAATGATGATTCAAATGATCTTAATAATCATAGTAAGGAACATGAACATGATTATATAGAAAATGATAATAATGATATTGATGTATCTTCATTACCAAATAGTCTTATTATTAGTTCTGTACCTGAAGATTTATTTACAAATCAACAAATGAAAGTAAAATATATTCTTTGCTTTTTTTTTTGTATTTTAATTTGCGAATATTTTTTTTGATTTTTATTTTGTAAAAAGGATGAATTTGAACAATTATTTCGTGTTTATGATCCTCAAATTACTGTAATTTATCTAAAATTTTTTCAACGTGTACGTATTACATTTACATCATCATATAATGCTTTTCAAGCTCGATTACATTTAAATCAATATCCATTTCATGATAAAATAATAAATACATATTTTGTTTGCGTAAGTCAATGATTTAGTTTGTCTCTTTTTTGTTTGTCTATAGAAATTATACTATTCTAGCCCCTTACTCTTCGTGATGCAAATCCTGATGAACATTTACGTCCACCTGAACCTGACAAACTTTATCTTATATCACCACCAGCTAGTCCACCAGATAATTGGGAACAAAATATTGAAAAACCACCATCTGTTGATTTAAATCTCATTGCTGCTATTTCACAATTAAAATCTAGTAAATAATTATAAAGGATCTTGCCGGATTTAGTAAACTATCTTGAAATAAGATATCATATATGTGGTTTTGTACAGTAATTTATGGTACTTCGAGTTGTATTAAATGAATCAAGTTTTATGAAAATTTTAATGTGTTGAGAGTCCATAGACTGTTAATAACTCTTGAAAATGGTTCCTAAAATAAACTTGTGCAAAGTTGGTTTCTAAACATAATTTAATACAATTGTAGGTATTCTTCGATTTTTCTATAATCAATAGTTTTATCATTGCTTTAAAATAGTTCCTTTTCTTAGGCCTAAATTATTCTTTGACTAGTTGTTACTTAATAAGATCATTCAGAAAAGCAGAACTCATTGTCAATTTACAAGATTGTCTCTTCAAATAGATTGTATTCCTATATAAAGAGATCGATACATTGACAATATTTTAACAAAGTTGAAGAAACTCATAAAAAGTTTTAATGTATCAATAATTATCACAGCATTTTTGATGAACTGATATAAGTAACTTCTTTATAAGTAAAAAAAATTCTTTGATCGCGATACCCCTGGACGAAGAGTGCTGATCTACGGTTGTAGGAAAGAGGTCTGTTATTATTATCTTTTTGTTTTTCAAGTTTTTCTTTTGAGTATTCAGAGTAAATTTATGCATGAAATTCTAGAAGAGTCTATAGATATCTCATGCTCATTTCAATAATAATTTCTTCCATATTCATTGTACTCTTATCGAGGACTTCGGAAGTCAAATTTTTTTTCCGTTTATAAAGAGGTTCTTTATATTAATACATCAGAGATGCTTTGTTGATTATTAATACATTAAAAGTTTTAATGAGATCCTTCAGTATTGTTTAAATATATTGTCAATATATCGGCTCCTTCATAAAGGAGAACAGGCTATTCTAGGAAAATCTTGTAAATTGACAAGAAGTCATTGCTGCTCGAGAAAACTAGATAGTGTATAATTTTTGAGAAAGTTTCTTGTTTTGTATCACTCAATTAAGCACACTGGAATATCAAGTAGTCAAGAAATAACCTCGATCTAAGAGAATAAATCATTTTTCAACGCAATGATGATAATTATAGATTATAGAAATCGAATTTAGTTTGTTTTAGAAATTATTCATAAGAATTATGTACAATCTATGGACTCTAAACAAATGAAAATTTTCATAACACTTGAATTATTTAATACAAGTTGAAACGTCACAAATTGCTCTATGATACTAGCTATATGGTATCATGTTTCATGATAGATCACGAAATTCGACAATGTTCTTTTCTAAATATAAATTATTATTTTTATTCTAGATGAATCTCATCAATTATTACCAAGTGAACATAGTTTGAATGCTCCATCGATCATCATTGATACATGTGATGATTCTAATGATGTTGAAATAAATCAGAGTCTTCGGCAAAAACTAATTAAATCAAAATTTGTACAAACTAAACGACCACCATGTCATCAAACTGATGAACATATTTAATAATTTAAATACTCAAAGAAAAAGATTTATACATTTTATTAAGTATTGTAGTTAATAAAATAATATTTTATATATATATATAGATGTATAGAAAGAGAGAGAGAGATTATATCTATTAAAAACTTGGACCTTTTCGATAGTATCAACCTGCTACACACATAATACATATGACAATATTCAGTAAAACAGCAACAATTAGATCTATAAAAAAAATCATGTTTTTTTAAATGACGAATAATAGATCGATAATATTCATGAAAATTGCCCAATGTAATTAAATTTATTTCATACATCCGTTCAAGATCAGAATTATGTAAAATTTCAAATACTGAACGATTTCTATACCAAAATTCAACTTCAACAATCTAAAAATACCGAAATATTTTAACACGATCGAATCAACTTTTCTTTTTTTTTTTTATACCAAACCATGAGAACCATTAATGGATGTTAAATTTAATGATAAAATATCTAATCGTCCATGAATAAAAACAACAACAAGATGTCGTGTAATACATGAATCGATAAGATTTTCAAAAAATACATGTTATATATGCTTATGTGTATCTGTTTTAATGATTATTAAATAAGAATATAAAAATGAATGTTTTACATTAAATTGATTATTTCATCGTAATCGGATTAATCCAACACGATAAAGATGTAAATCTTGTATGATAACAAGGAATTGATCTAATACATGATTGTATTTCATTCTTATGACTTGAACATTTATCTAATACACATGTAACATATTTTTTATCAATTTGTATTGTATTATTTATGAAATCCGATATAAAATTATAGCATAACCTATTATTTATTATCATTGATTTTACTACTGTTTCATCTATTATAGATTACATAGTGTTAGTTAACATAAATCATGTATAATTAAATTATCATGATGTCACATTTTTATAGAATGATGAACTAGTACATAAGTTTAGTGTATCTGCGAAATAAGTAAAGAATATAATTACTTTTATAGTATCTCGACGAATGAGTTTAATAAAATGACGTAAGTCGAATTTCAAAAGAACATCAACATAAATAGGATCAATAAATATAAAAATTAAATTACTAATTTTAATAATATTAAGTAGAAGACTAATATATAGTAGAAATAATATAGCGGAATTGGATAGAACCAATACAAATGGAAGTTTTTGATCTAAGTATGTAGATTTTCGATATATATACAATCGATCAACTTCGCATTCCGTACAATTATCAATAAAATCAAATCTACATCTGTTCCAGCTAAGTGGTAAGAAGCAAAAGTCCATTGTTTCATTTTAACATTATAGTCAATAGAAAAAGAAAATAAATAATTAGTTGGATCCGATACATTTGATTAAAATTTTTATCAAAATATAAGAAATTTTATTAAAACTGAGCTTTTGAAATATTTATTCTTGTGGTAAATTAACAAATGAATTCTGAATATTTCTAACAATAACCGGAAATATGAATTCAAGAAAAAAAAAATTGTTTTCACGTCAAATTAGAGCTCATATCTTCTCATTTTTGGATGTTTTCTTCTGAGAAAAATAGTTTGGAAGAAAGGGACTATCGCCTCATACGCTCACTTTACAAACCTGCTATTGAAGCAAATGACAATCAAGTTGTTTTATTTTGTATAACAGGCTATCTGTTTCCAAATTTCGATGGGTTTTGGTTCAAGCCTGACAACTAATGTTTATTAAAAAAATCTTGAATTTCTATTATTATTTTATACTTGGAATCTTCATTGATACAGTCTGTAATCAGCCTTAGTATAGATAAGTAAATGTGATAATCTTAATTGAATATCTTAGTCTGTCATGTCAGCTTTTGATATTATTTGGAGTATATTACATAATTTACAGAAACTTAGACTTTGAACTTTTATGCATACGAAGTGTTTCTTCCAAATAAGCAAACATTATGTTCTTATGTTGATAAAGCTAATAATAAAACTAAATAAAATAATCAATCGGATTGTTGTAAAAGTTATTTTTCATTGAACTTTTCTTAAGTTACAGAAAGTAACTTTCAGTAAAATATTAAGACAGAGGCGTACTTTCAAATTAATCTTTTCTGATTTATGTCAGATTTACTTGAATTACTTTTTTTATTTGAAAAAAAAAAAAATCTAAAGAAAATAATAATCGAACAAGTACTTTCATTCTTTTCAGAATGCAATCAACATCATTGAATGTTGGAAGATTTTTCAAAATACAAAATATTATTCTTCGAATAGAACATAAGAAACTTCAATTGCACTTCTCGTATGGAAAAGTATTCTAAATAATTTATAATAGTACATTCATACAAAGTTTTTAAAGAAATAACATACTGTCTTTTGCAATTCATTATATATCTCATGATTAGAGATGTGAGAGACCAAGTTTTTTTTTGATCCGATCTCGATAACTTTTGTATCCATCCGTCGTAGTCATAGTCCAATTTCGGTTTCGGTATATGTTTTTCTTGTAATCTTGGCCTCAATAACTCCTGTCTCCTGTGGTCACGCATTTGTCAACCGATGATTCATTGCTTTACATAAAATCTTGACATTGATATAAATTCTATTCAAACGTTGTTAAGCTCTTTTCTAAAAGCATGATTCACGAAACACAAACAATTTCTTCTCTCATCACGTATGACACTAAAGAAAAATCAATTGGATAAGAGATAGACTCGGATATTTTTGAATGACATATTATTATCAGAATAGTTTCAACGATCTTCAAAATATTATTATTCTTTACATATACAATTTATTGAATGACTTCATTTATTAAAAAAAAAAAAAAAACAAGACAAGGACATTTATCTTTCTTTCTTTATATAGGAAAAAAAATTCTTGTGCTATGAATGATTTTATGACACTCAGTGTCGAAAAGAAAACTGTTCAATTTAATTCGTAACATCAGCTTTAATGAATGGATTGTAAAATGTTAAATAGGCTTGTAAAATTTTTGATAATGAATTTATTTTCATAATATCATTTGGATATGTTCGAATTTCTTTTTTAATTTTAATTCGACAAATAGTTTTTAAAGTAAGTGTTTGAGTACGTAATTCACTTAATTTACTTTTTATTTGTGCCATTTGTAACAATGAATTTTGTGTATCTGTTAATAATTGTTGATCTAATTCATATGTTGGTGATGATGATGATGATGATGATGAAGATAAATATGTATTATCAAAACGAAGATTTGGACGAAATATTAGTTTATCTAATGGTATTTCACCATTTTCAATCATTGATATTAAATAACGTTCAAGACGTTGTTGAATTGTTTGTTGTGTAAGATTTGTGTTACGTTGTTCACATGCACGTAAAACATCATAAAATAAAAATATACACCATGATAATGATCGTATTTTTGGATCAAATACATCTTTAAGACGATATTTAAATAAAAATTCTTTACATGCTAATATATCAAATAATTTATATTGTTTTTTAGCAAGTAAATTTGGTTCACGCATTCCATATCTTGTTAATTTACTTTCTTTACGTGATAATAATAAATGTAAACGACGTAGTCGTGATAAATTTGCTTGTTCATATGTTGATAAATATGCTAGATCAAGTGGTGTACCACCAGATTGGTTTCGAATATTTAAACATGAATCAGGTGAACTATTAATAATAAATTCAAAAACAGGATCGGTTATTGCTGATTGACATGCAATATGCAGACATGTTTGACCATTATTATCTTGTAAATCGAAACGTGCACCTTGTTTTATTAAAACATCAAGCATAGGTATTGAATAATTCTTATTAATAAATATTGAAAGTGGTGTTTGATTATTATATTTGTCTAAACGTTCATTGATATCAAAACCATATTTACACATTAATTCTAATTCTTTCATATGAATTGGTTCGTAAAAATGTAGATCTAAATGTAAATATAAATTGAATAACATTTGATTAGAAGTTTTTGATTCGAAAAGAAATATTCGTTTTATTTGATTTTGATAGGATAAATTAAAATCTTTTAATTGTTTTTGAAAGTAATTCTTGATCATGATCACTATTGGAACTAACCAATTTTCGTATATTGCTTGTCTAAAAAGCTTCATCTTGAGATGTAACAAGTTGAATAGGTTCTATCAAATGAAACATTACTTTTCTTTAATGGTTATCTCAGTTTAAAAGTACTTAGTCTATTAAAAAAATATTCTTACATGCACGCCTAATCTTCTAGAATGATGGAACTTTCTGTAGTTGACAATTTTGGTAAAACTTTAAATTCTTAGTCCATAATAAAACAGATCCTAATTAATAAAATCTGTGTAAACGAATGATAATTCTGATCGTGGAATTTTAGTAATTTTTAGTAGAGGGTTATATATGAAGAATATTTCATAAATTTCTAAAAAACTTGACAAATATCTTATAATAGATTTTTTCGTTACAAGAAAGATACTTTTGCTACTATATCATGTATTAAAATATTATCAAATTGTTTTTCATATAAATCAATTATGTTTTATGTTCTGTATCAGTTCCGTGCGAATGCTATACTTTTACTTTGTATGGTCTAAGTGTGATTAATTTAGTCTATGTTTATGATCTAAACTATTCATATTTAGTTGCCTTCATTTTTCAGCATTCCATCAATATGAGAGCTACTTACGAAGGAACTATCCAAATCAATATTCGCTGACATTTGAACTTATACTAGGTTCGGAAGGAATCCTAAGTAAGACTAGAAAAATCTTACAAGAGTTCGTGCCCATGGACTTTTAGAAATGACTGATGACCAATTTTACTGAATTTTCGATTCGGCTTTAGACATTTACCGAAAAAATAAATAATGGAATTTCGATCTGAAATTTTGCATACAAGTAGCTGTGCTGATTCTGAGAATATCCTGAAAATGGCAGCTGAAAAGAGTATTTTTTTCTCGAAATATTGAATTTTCAAAAAAATGCCCGTTTGTCACAAAAATCAAGATTATTTCAGAATTTGATATCTCGATAAAGGAACA